GGGGGGGGGGGGGTGGCGGGTAGCTGCTGTGAGGTTAAGAGAGGAGGGTGACGGGTAGTTTAGTGTTTTAGAGGGTTGGTGGCTGATGGTTTTGGTGTTCTTGTTGAAGATGAAGAAGGAGGGTCTGTTTTCGCTGATTTGGTTAAGAAGATGGGATGAGCGGCGGAAAGAGGTGGAGATGGGGTGGTCGTTTGGTGTGAGGTCCAGAAGCAGCGGCGGCTATGGAGAGGTTCTTCAGTTTTGGGTGTTTTTGGTTGAAGAAAATCAGTGGAGACGGCTGAAGGTTGAAGATGAAGAAGCAGGGGTCGGTCGTTGGTCTCTAAGGTCTTAGGTGCTGAAGCTTTTTTTGGTGTCTCTAGGTTAGAATCTGAAGAAGAAGAAGAAGAGGGGTCTTTTGTTTTTGAGGGTGAACGCTGGCAGGGGTTGTTGCAGATCATACCAAGAGAGAGCTCAAAAGTAGCATAATTTCTATCTTGTAAAGTTTAGTCCCAATTGTTTGTTCTTATTTCTTTAGTCAGTTTATTAGGATAATGTTGTCATTTCTATTTATCTAGGGTATAAATACCTTATATGTACTCATTTGGAGATATCAATGAAAATTATCCTTTAGCTCTCTTTAGTTTAGCTTTAGCTTAGCTTAGTTTTAGCTAGATTTGTTCTCAAATTCTATCTTGAAACATTTGGTATTAGAGCATCGATCCTCTGACCCATATGGAAATTTTCTTGGCAAGCCAACATTACCCATATGCCCGTGGAAGTTCTTATGCTGCATCGTATGCTCATGGAGTAAATTTGTGCAATTACGGCGGTTTGGAGTTTGCGGCTTCCTCGTTTATGTGCACTGGACCTTATGCTGGACTTGCAACACACTCAAGCACCTATTACCATTCCGGCGACTACGGGGCATATGGGGGTTACACACCGTCTGGGATTTAGGCTACAATTCTGATCCTAATGTGGCATATAGATCTACTACTTGTTCTCCAGCTTCACAGGGTCAACAACGTAACAAAAACTGGGCGGATAATAACCCATATTCATCTGAAGTGAATGGGAAGCGGGAGGTTTATATGACATCGACTGGACCTATATTGGCAGCTCCTGTAGTGAAGCTTGAACCGTCGTCCTCCATTATTACTGAAGCTCCAGCGAAGAAGATAAGATTGACAAAAGTCCAACTGAAATCCACTGTTGTTGGGTCTTCATTTAGAATTGCAAAAGCATCGCTGGAGGATTTACCATCGGATAATAATGACCTTGAGTTACAGGGGAATAGTTTGCAGGTGAAACGGATTGAGAATGGGCTAGACAAAAAGGGGATAAAAAAGGAAGAAGTTGGATATAGCACAAGGTGATCTATGAAATGCCAGGTAGAGAAGTAGCTGGTCATTTACAATTGGAAATGGAAAAGCATTCTTCTCTTGCACACAAGGTGTTTGATGAAATGCCAACTCATGAATTAAAGGACTCTTTTGACAAATCAGCTTTCGTCTCTGAAAATCTGATAGACACTGGCCAATTGGAGCTGACGAGAATGACAAGCGATTAACAAAAATCAAAGGTTATTGGAATACTAGAAGTTCCAGTAGAGGAAGAGAGCTCGGAAGAAGTCAAAGTTCTGAAAGGGGTGAAGTGTCCTGTTCTTGCGACTCCGTTGGAGGTAGTGGTGCATCCACCTAACATCGATGACCTTGATTGGTAGAGTGTGAGTATTGATAATGCTTATAGTCGTAATATTGATGTCAACAAGCCTGTTCCTTTTTCAACATCACTTGAAGATCTGCAAGTTCAAAATACTCATACAATTAAGGGTGTTACTGGCAGAGTAGCTGACTCAATCATCAAGTCCAAAATGGTATATTCTCTTATTAAGTTAGTAAGGGAAGAGGGACTACTTTTATCCAGTAGTTTCATAGCTTATGCATTTGGTGGTGATATCTTCAAAAGGAGAACTAATAGTAGCTTGCTAGATAGTGCCAAACAGTTGAAAAAGAATTGTTTCTCAACTCATGATAAACACATGTGCCTTGAAGGGAACAAGAAAACTAATCTAAAATCTCAAGTTGAGAAAATGATAATGTTGGAGGTAGAGGATATTAGGGAAAATGAGGTTGTTGTATTTAAAGAAATAAAAAGGAAGAAGTATACTGCTCTTGACTTTCCCAAGGTCGCCATTAATCTTGTTGCTTCTGTTTTTGGGAAATTCTACAAGATGGAATTGTTGGTATCACAAAAGAAATTGAGTTGGTGCGGAAAGTTGCATTTGCTTCTTTTTGTGAGTAATTCCATAGTGAAAATCTTACCTCTTGTGCAAGAGCTTCCGGGTGATGGAACTCCTAAGATTATGGTATTTCAACCTTTATCGGGTCCCTATGTAAGCCTTCCCACACTCAGAAAGCTGAATGTCTTGTTGATTGACATGTTAGATAGTTTCTCTAGTTGTGATTTTTATTGTGCTTACCAAGGGATAGTTGTTGCTGGAAAAAATTGCTTTGATATGTTGTGCGAGTATTATGCAATGTTGGAGGTGCATGATGCTATCAGAGAACAAGAGGCTAGTTCGCGGCTATAGTGTAATTCAAACGCCTCTATTAGGAATGACAAAACGATTTGGGGAGCTGATGGTCGACTTTGTGGTGTTATTACCATAAAAGATGTGGAGATAATGAAATAAAGTGAAGCGATTAAGAAGATCATAGAAAGTGTAGTTTGGAAGTGGTCAAATATGAAAACCCATTTTTTTGGATCTAGTCACTGTTATAAGCACCAGTGTCCCCTTGCTTTCATCAAAGTTGAAGTTGTAGACCTTTTTGATAATTTGTTTAGCGATTTTTGCCTCAAGTTTGTAGTTGGTGATGCCAAAATTAAGGAGTGGAGCTTACTTGTCGGAGTGTTGAAACTACCCTGCCAATACTCTGAGAAACCTTGTTCCTTATTTGACAGTGAGATGTTGTGGAAGGTTAGTGGTGCATACTTTAGACAATATGGTTTTCTTGATCAACACTTGAAGCAATTAGTTTTAGGTGGAGAGTTGTTGACTATTGCCATTAAAACTCTTCTCCTAGTGCTAGGAAGGAATCTTATAATTGGGGACTTTTCTAAGGTCCCATTGGATCCAGGTATGATTATTTCTTCATTCCCACATATTACCCTTGAGGACAAGGGTGTCTTGATGGGGAAGTGGTTTGCTAACTTCCTTTATGCTCATGTGCAAGACCAAACAGTCTATGCATGTTCGTCAGTTGGAATTTCAAAGGCAAGGAATCTCGTTGTACATGTCTTTATTGCAACTGGTTTGCACATTGAGTTATACAGGAGACTTAAAGCAGATGTTCTCCCTGCTTCTGAAAATAATGCTAAGCCAAAAGAAAAACAGAACCATCAAGTTCAGTCAAAAGAAAAACAGAACCATCAAGTTTAGAATTTATTTCTTCAACATGTTTCGGCTTCTAGTGTTAATCTAAGTTCAACTCTTTCCAGTTGCGAGGCAGGTATGGTGTTTCTTGAGGCATGGAGGATAAATATTGAGTCTATGCACTCTATTGTTTTCACTGTGCTTTGTGCTTTTAGATGTCTAACAGTATTTGAGGAAGACATATCTATCCATTTCCTTGAAAGAAGGAGTTGTGCTAGTGATAAATTAAGTCCTAGGAGTGATATGTTCACATGGAAGCACCAGAAATGCAAGAATATTAGGAGAGGAATTATTATATCGAATTGGATATCATTTCATAATTTTGGTTTATGTGAATATGAAATACTGGATGGCCTAGATGAAACCAACGTAATTGGGAATGGAGCTCCAGGAAAAGCTATCCTAAGCACTGGCGAATTAAAGCAGAAGGGGTCTGATAGTCATGCTACTGCAATTTACAAGTTGTTGGTAACGGAAGTTCAAATAATAACAAGTGAAGTAGCAACAAATGAAGCAACTTATGCACTTCTTGGTGAAAATGATGCCACAAAACCTATACACAGATCATCTGCTATATTGGTAGTTGACAAGGCATCACAAAAACAGGGTAGAGACATGGGGAGAAGACCCAATGTAGTGGTCTCTAAAGTTGCTGACAAAGAGTTCGTTGATATTGGGTTAATTGATGCTGTCCCTGTACTTTTTTTCTCCTTGCAATGTGACTTTGTTAAGCATGAATTTTGGAAGCATAAACTCAAGGATGCTCTCTGGAGTTCAAGTGAAGTTGGAAGACATGCATTATTCCTTTCATGCTTTTAACCTTGAGGACAAGGTTTATTTTAAGGGGGAAGGAATGTTGTAGATCATACCAAGAGAGCTCAAAAGTAGCATAATTACATAATTTCTATCTTGTACAGTTTAGTCCCAATTTTCTGTTCTTATTTCTTTAGCATCCTAAGTCAGTTTATTAGGATAATGTTGTCATTTCTATTTATCTAGGGTATAAATACCTTATATGTACTCATTTGGAAGATATCAATGAAAATTATCCTTTAGCTCTCTTTAGTTTAGCTTTAGCTTAGCTTAGTTTTAGCTAGATTTGTTCTCAAATTCTATCTCGCAATAGGGGTTCTCTAGGGTTCGTCCTTTTTTGTTCAAGGAAGATGAAGAAGCTTCGGCAGTTGCAGGTTGAAGAAGAAGATCGGCAATGAGGGGTCGTTTTTTTTTTGGGAGTTGCGGCTGATCCCCTTTGGTTAGGTCTTCTAGATTTTTTTCAATGTGGAGATGAAGGGGTCTTTAGGTTGGGGGTATGTGCTTATGGGTTGGAGAAGAAAGAAATTGGGCTTGGCCAAATTTTTGGGCCAACTTTTGTCTAAGAATGGCCCTCTCTTGGACCTTCTTTTGATTTTAAAATCAAGACCATGTCCATCTTAAAATTAATTTGGTTTTATCTTCTTTTCTAACGAACAAATTAAAAATACAACTATTACTAATTCATGCTAGTTAAGTAAATAATTATAATGCAAAAATACTAAAATCACACATTGAGGTAACAAATA